TATATATATATATGAAATTATTATTATATGAATGATATGTGTCACATGCGGCATATCTTATTATCTATTAATGGTGGCGGGTGGCAAGCTCGAAGATGGAATTATATGATTGTTTTTTACACAGTAAATATCATCCATATGCAATTTTTATCATATCAAGAGTTTGAGCGGCATTTCCTTTCGGACCACCGAAAGGTCACGCTCAAAACTCACCCACCTACAAAAATAAAAAATTAAAATATTTGTAAAATGCCCCCATTAATTTTATATACAGTAACATTTGACTTTATTAAAAATTGTTCTCGGCAATTGGACCATTCAATTTGACCCGTTAATTTACTGTTCGTTTGGGGGCAGCTTATTTGGTGTGGTGGCGTTTTGAAAATGCATCTGATCTGCTGATCTGTTTGGGTAATCTGATCTGTTTGGGTAAACTGCATTTTGGCAGCTTATGCGTTCTCAAAACGTCAAAAACAGCGTTTTCACATTGCAACTATCTAGGTGTGGTGGGAACTTTCTGGCAGCGGTCTAATTTTTCCAAAAAAATAAAAATTTGTAATAGTCATCGCACCTAACTTATCAGTAAATTATTTTTAATCAATTTATCAGTAGATTATTCAATAAAGATTATTCAAATTCAATAAACTACAGCTGTCTGAAACATACCCTTAGTTATGTTTATGTTTGTAGCATTAAACGATTATCCCCTACACGCAAAAAAAAAATTGTCATCGTTGGTTGTATTCACACTACTGACAGCGAGCAACCCTAGTAAGAGATTTTCTACTCTTTTTTTGATAAGAAGATTTACATACATACCACTTAATTGCTTTGTATTTACACATCTAGCACCAAAACTGTAATTTTTACATACATGTCACATACATTAAAAAGGTTTATGTGTTGATCTTACAAGATCTAGCTACCCAAAAGAGAAGAATAAAATGGTGCCCACCAAGTTGGGCGAGTCAAGTTGAACGAGATCAAATCCGAACGAGTCTTAAGAATTTACAAGAAAATGACTCGCGATCCACATAAAAGGCATTTGTTCGAAAACAAGTCAGGAGAGTGCTCAGGACGTCAACTCAAGGAAACTAAACTCGAAGCAGTAATCTATCAAACAGTAAAGCCAACCAGACGGAAGAGCTGTTCCCACAAAAACATCTTCAAACACCCATCAGAGACCAAATGACTTCTTTCCGGAGATTGAAGATAGCCAACCGGATTGGGTCAGCTAATCCAACTAACTCGGTCGAGCCAAGCTAACTAAGCTTAACTAACTAAACCAAAAGAAGGACTGGTAATGAAGACAAAAAGGTAATATCACCATTGTGCATATCTTCTATAAATAGAGGAAGCATTTAATGAAGACGGTTGCACGATTTAGCTCCATTATTTCTCTCTCCCTCTACATTTCTCTATTCTTTGGTGTGATGCACGGACAATAGTAACCTATGCTGGAAAAAATATATTTCACTTTTTAAAAGTTAAAACAATAGTACTTTTTACTTGATATGAAGGGTTTGTGTGGTATAAATTTAAAATTTAAAATTTCATTTTTCATAGATAAATACATAAAAATTGTGTCGTATGCATGTAAATGCCCCGATTTGATGATGAAGAAAGTGCCAAAATGGTCCCCCAACTATATAAGGGGGGTCATTTTAGTCCCAACTTTTAAAAAGTGTCAAATTAGTCTCAACTATTGAAAAATAGGTTGAAATAGTCCCACCATAAAAAAATAAAATAAAATAAAATATGGGTTCAAAACATTAAAAATATGAGTATTTTTGGAATTATGTTTTTAAAAAGTATTTGAACCAAAATCCATGAATAAAAGTGTTAGATATGTATCAAATAATTATGTTTATTTAAACATAACCGGCGCGTAATGGCTCGTTTAGTGGTGTTATATAATATAATCTTGTAGAGGTTAGTTTAGTGGTTATGGTTGATTGAAGTTCAACTCAAAATCGCCGTCATTTAAAATACGTTTTTTGTATGATATTAAAGGAGACCTAAGTCACAACTCATTGTATATTCATTAGGCATGCAAGTTATTTATGCATATGCTTAAACAACTAGCTAGCTTCATCAGTAATATATTGTCACTCAAAAGTTGCTATAATTATAAAAATTAGGGATGTACGAATCATTAATGTTTTTAATTATTTGTTACTTTTTAAATAATCATAATTAAACAAACATCATCGAGCTAGTTATGTTTAAACAATCATATTTATTTGATATATCTCTAATACTCATATTCTTGAATTTGACCCATGATATCCTAAAAAACATAATTCCAAAAATACCCCTATAACGGTTGAGATTAATTGGACACATTTTAGAAGTTAGGGGCGAAAATGACTCTTTTCATATAAAAGTATTAGATAAGAATTGATCACACTATTAGAATTTATAAATACACCTCAATGATCCTTATTTTTATATATTATAAACTTAGAAGGAAATCAAAGATAAGTTGATTGCCTCTTGACAAAACAATGGCTTATCATCCCAAACCCTAATAAAATATTAAGTTTCCAATTTATGGGCGCACAACAACAAACTTCCTTTGACCAACATAATCTTACACCACTAAAATAATTATTTCTACCATTCAAATTTGGACTTTTTCAATACATGTTAAATAATTTATCAAAAAAAAAAATCATATAAATATAAAGAAGATTTACATATAACCACTCGGTTCTTATGTGTTTACGTATATATACAACATCACTTGCGCGGTGGCGTTTTGAAAACGCACCTGTCATGTTCGGGTAAGCTGTGTTTTGGCAGCTTATGCATTTTCAAAGTGCTGAAAACAGTTTTTTCACACCGCACTTATCTAGGTGAGGTGGCAGCTTTCTAGCTGCGGTTTGACTTTTTCCAAAAAAAAAAATAAAAATTTGTAATAGCTACTACACCTAGTTTATCAGCAGATTATTTTTTATAAGTTTATCAGCAAATTATTCAATAAGCTGCAGCTGCCCCAAACAGACCTTAAATATTCATGATAAGAAGAATTTGAATGGTATAAATGTAAAAATTAAAGTTTAGATCATAGATATGTAAATACATAGGAAATGAGGGGTATGTATGCACGAGAACTACCCAAAAGTATTTGTATTATTCTACTGAGTTGCACCTCTCGCTTTCATGCATTATAATTAATACCGCACTGGAGAACTCATACACTCCCAACTACTTCAATCAATGGCAGAAAGTCCACTCTTTAATATTTATATTTCTTTATTTTTCCCCTTGTAAATATTTATATGTTTATATATATATATATATATTAAAAATAAAATATAAATTTATTGCAATATATTAGTGAACGTTATAAGATAATGTGGCATTCACATACATACCACACAATTCTTAAATATTTACATATCTAACTCCTAAATTTTGATATTTTGATGCATAATATTCATATCTTTAATATCAATTCAAAAATATTGTGTACGAATATGTACACGAGGATACGAACACGTGCAACTTCTATTATTAAAAATAAATGACAGGAACACACAAAATGTAATAGCATTATCTTTTGAGAGACTAAGATGTCCATAATGAGAAATATCAAACAAGACGAGCAATTGACGAACCTTTTTGAGCTTGTCTGGAAAATATCGAGCGATAAGTCGAACATATAATTAGGTTTAACCTTTATATATATATATATATATATTTCATTTTGCTTATACAAAATATTTTTAAAAAGTTTAATTCACTGATTTAAGGCACACATGTATATTATATTTTAATATTATTTAAATACGATCCAAGAAGCATATATTGGTGCATCATAACTTTCCATGCGTATAAAAAAATATCAAGTTTCAATTGATATTTATTTAAATTTACAAATAATTCTTCCCCTCTCCCATTCCCCAGCCTATAAATACCTCACTCCTCCACACCAAACCACACCAATCAAGCTCCACCCCAACCATTAATGGAGGAAAGCAATAAGCTCATCAACCTCTCAAAGCACCTATCTTTCCACTACTCCCACCATGATCATCCCCACTCCACCTTCCTCCTTTTCCTCCTAACTCTCACCACCTCCCTCCTCGCAGCCTTCCTCTTCTCCCTCCGCCGCCGCCGGCCAACCTTCCTCCTCGACTTCTCGTGCTTCAAACCTCCCCGCCACTGCCGCGTCCCCTTCTCGTGCTTCGAAGAGCACGGGCGGCTCATCCTCGGCAAGGAGCTCGGACTCTTCATGCTCCGCGTGCTCGAAAAATCCGGACTTGGAGAGGAGACTTGTCTCCCCGTTACGGCGCATTACATCGACCCCGTCCCCGTGCCGACGCTCACCGGCTCCCGGGACGAAGCAGAGCTCGTCATCTTTTCGGCGGTCGACGATGTGCTGCGGAAGACCGGCGTGCGGCCGTCGGAGATAGATATACTGATTATAAACTGCAATAGTTTCTTCCCCATGCCTTCCCTCACCGCCATGGTTGTTAACCGTTATAAGCTCAAGAGCAATGTCAAAAGCTTCAATCTTTCCGGTATGGGATGCAGCTGTGGGCCCATCTCGGTTGGACTTGCTAAGAATCTTTTTGAGGTGGGGGAATTTAAAGTTGGCTTTTTTTTTTTTTTGCATATTTGTCTTTTATTTTTATATTCTATGATTTTCTTAGCTTGGGGTTTTATAATTTAGTTTATGTTAAACTAATTTTAATCATGTTTATATTTGTTCGGGAGAGAATATTACATTCATAATTCAAACGTTGGCACTTTATATCTTGAATATGTCTCGCTTGGGACAGCTTATTTGATGTGGTTACGTTTTAAAAATGCACCTAACCTGTTTAGATAAACTGCGTTTTGACAGCTTATGCGTTTTGAAAACGCTGAAAACAACGTTTTTACACCGACCTATTTAGGTCCGGTGGTAGTTTTTTTGGTAGTGGTCTGACTTTTAAAAAAAAAATAAAAATTTATAATAGCCACCGTACCTAACTTATCAACAGATTATTTTTATTCAGCTTATCAGCAATTATTTAATAAGTTGTAGCTGACCCAAATAGACCCTATCTGAATCTGCTGCACGAATTTATCCACACATAATATATTTTTTTCTTACAAAATATTTTTTTCTTTGTGATAATTGATAGTTTGATAAGTTTTTCTTATTTATTTAATTATTTTTTATTGAGATTGTGTTATAGTTGATAATTTCAAAGATAGCATAATAAGAAAAACACTTTATTAATTAAACTAACACTAGCTAATGCATGCCAAATTTTGACATAAAACTAAAATTATTTATAATATTTTTAAAATAATTTAAGCTTTAAATTGTCTTATATTTACATAGTTTCATTAGTAAATATTTTCAAAGAAAAAGGAAAATTTTACAAAAATACTTAACAAATGAAGTTAGAATTTTTTATTATTTATAAATTTTAATATTAAAGGAGACAAAATATTACGAAAAATATAAATTCAGATGATTAAAAAGTAGATATTTGATAAGAAATACAATATATTTAAATAATAACAATAATATAATAATTCTATTGTATAAAATAACAATCAAACTTATTCTCTCTCTCTCTCTCTCACACACACACACACACACATATGTTCTTATAAAATTTTTTATGAAGTTGAACCTTAATTTTTCTTTAAAATTATTTGTCATGAGTTTAATAATATTATAATATAACTAATTAATTATGTTGAACATATTTCCAATTATATTTACAATTTTCATTAACCATATTAATCATTTTTTCTATTTTTTTAAAAAAAATTCATGTTAATTCATTCTCACTTAAACTTAATATTTATTAAGCATGCTAAAAAGGTGAAAATAATAAATATTTTATTTTGAAGCATCCAAATTTCATATACAATAAACTTGTATCTGTTGATACACAATATTTTTTCTTAAAAAAATTGATAATTGCAAAATAATAAATTATTAATTATTTATATAATGCAATAGAAATTTGATATTCCTCCTCTTTTTTATGCAAAAATATTTTACTTGAAAATATTTTACTTGATAACTGCAAATTGACACATTATGTCAATAATCTTGTCCCCCATGGGATATAACTGTATAATAAAACTTTTTGCAGGCGAACCCAAACTCCGGACTGGCTTTGATTGTCTCGACCGAAATCATAACTTCCCCGGCCTGGTACAAAGGCCGGGAACGCTCCATGCTCGTCTCCAACTGCCTCTTTCGCATGGGCGGCGCCGCCATCCTCCTCTCCAACATCCCATCTCACCGCCGCCGCTCCAAATACGAACTCCTCCATGTCCTCCGCACCCATACTGGCGCTCACGACTCCTCTTACCGCTGCCTCTATCAAGTCGAAGACTCCGAAGGCTGTCTCGGCATCTCCCTCTCCAAGCAAGTCATGGAATTCTCCGCCGTAGCTTTAAAACAGCACCTCACCCGCCTCGGCCTCCTCGTCCTTCCTTGGGAAGAGAAGCTCCGGTTTTTATTCTCCCGCTTGTTCCGTAAGAGGAAGGTCGGCGGTAGCGGCGGAGGCTACGTGCCAGAGTTTCGCAAGGCGTTCGAGCACTTCTGCGTGCACGCAGGAGGGAAGGCGGTGGTCGACGGAGTGAAGAAGAGTTTGGGGTTGACGGAGGAGGAGGTGGAGGCGTCGAGAATGGCTTTGCATAGGTTCGGAAATACGTCAAGCAGCTCGGTGTGGTATGAGTTGGGGTACTTGGAGGCCAAGGGGAGGATGAAGAAGAAGGATAGGGTTTGGCAGTTAGGGTTGGGGAGTGGGTTTAAGTGCAATACTGCGGTTTGGAGGTGCCTTAGGGATGTGGAAGGGAAGGAGGAAGGAGGGGTTTGGAACGATTGTATTGATAGGTATCCTGTTCCTATGGTGGCATGAGATATATATGATTATATATATTTGGGAAACATATTGGATTAGAATAATTCTAATTAAATTGTTATATTTTGGGTGCAATTAAAAATTGAAAAATAATATTATTTCTTTAGTGTTATGAATAAATGTTTGAAGAAAAATTGGATTAGAATATTCTAATTCAATTAATTACAAGTTGTATGCATTTTAAGAATGAAAAAAAGGTTTACTTGATGTTTTAATGTAGATATATTTTTTGGTTTTGTAGGTTTAAATGGTTGTATTTGTTTTGAGATGAATGCTTTATAATATATATATATATATATATACTTATATTCATAGTAATAATAGACCCTTTTTATAGGTTGAGATGAACAATATTGGGAGTCTTTTCAAACTTTTGTTTTTTTTGGCTAAAATGGAGGGGGATGTGCTATAGTGGAATGTGCTTTATGAAGTGGAGTATGTTATTTTATTTTATGCCATGCTAATCAAGTGTATGATTATACATACCTAATGATCGGCTTCTGCGGATGTATAATCTCTTCATCATCACCTCCAAAAATACCCTTCCTGGCAAATAAGGTTGTGATTAAGCTAGGGTGCCTTAATCCTATGGTCAACTGACCACTAGCAATATAAGCAATAGAATCATGAACCAGAACATCCACATTAATAAAAAATGCCTTCTGAATGCAAAAGTTTTGAACGACAAGCTCCTTCATGACGTCGGTAAGGCTAGTGGTGGGAAGCATCCTACAAATTATGAAGTAATGCCATGTCCTAACCTTCCTTGTGAGGTCTGTGAGAGGGACTTGATCGATTCCTCCTTGTCATCCCCTGAGCAAGTCCTCCATGTACATGTGGGGGTTGTAAGGAAACAGATTACCTTCTGGTAATCAGGTGAAATCAGACTCGAATACCCCAATTGGGAATGTCAGTCATGTCATACACATGATTGATCGTAGTGGGATCAAAGGGGATCATCTTCCCCCACACAAAGACTCTCCCATCAACGGATTCCTTCGCATTTGCGTAGAATACCTGGACAAGATTGACTACAATGTGTTCAGAGATAGAGGTAAGATTTTACCACCCACGACACTCAATCTCAAGCTAAATCTCTCCCACAAGAAATTGGAATGCTCTTTCAGGGATCAATTTCTTCTTACCCATAAAGCTTAAGAAACACTACTGAGCCACCAAGCTCACAAAACGTTTCTTGTTATAGGAAGAGGAGCTACCTCTTCCACACATTTTTGGAGCCATGGGAATCAAATCAAATGAAGAATAATGCTCAATAAGGAAGTGGGGAAGAAGATCTCAAGAATAGAAATCAATTGTCGGTCACAATAAAATCTCTCAGGTGAATAAGTAAAAATTTGAGAAAATGGAGACTTACTAGAGGCAAACAAAGCAAGAATCTTTCTTCCCACGTGTTGATCTATCTTTCCCAAGAAAATGGCAGAGTTCTGAAAAATGTTTCAGTGATCCTAGGCGCTCTAGGGCTAGGGAGGCAAAGTGTACTCGTGGGAGATGAACGAGAAGAAGGTGAACATGAAAAAAAATAGCTCAAGCATTAAAAAGGACGTAGACACACTCTAGTGAGGTCACGAACTGGCGTGGCCACACTCGAAAGAGGTGTGGTCACACCTGTTCAAAATAGTGTGTTGGATTCATCTGTGGCCACACTCGAAGGCAGTGTGGTCACGCCAATGCAAAACAATTTTTTGGGTAAGAGTTGGCATGACCATGCCCTATATGTAGTGTTATTACTCCAAAATCTTTGTTTGGTTGTGTGGTCACATCAGTTCCAAGCATGGTCATGCATAGTGCAGCCTAAGTGCGGGCCCTGACTTTGCACCACAGACTCTGTTTTATTAATTCTTCCCTCTTAAAACCTCGTAACAACATTCTTAAGCATAAAAATAACCAAACAGGACATAAAAAAGCACACAAACCTCAAAAATGAAATTCAAAGAAAAATTTTCAAAGCAAATAAGCAGAAATAAATTCCAAAACAGCATATATCGCTTAGGTTGCCTCTCATGGTAGCGTTTGATTTAGCATTGTCAGCCCAACGATACAGGTTCCACTATTTAGGATGATTCTAACCTTAGAATTGCAATAGGATTTTTACTCTCTTCTACTAGGTAAGGTTTCAACTGTTCATTAACCTTAAATATTTCCCAGTTTTGCTATCTTGAATATATACAACTCCAAATGAGTACACCTTTACTACTGTGAAAGGTCTTGACCACCTGGGTTTCAATTTTCCTGGAAATAATTTTAATCATAAATTATATAATAAAACTTCTTGTCTATAGTGAAATTTATTCTTAAGTAGCTTCTGATTATGTCATTTTTTCATCTTTTCCTTATAAATCTTGACATTTTCAGACACTTCTCATCTAATTTAATCAAATTTGTTCAACTGTAGTAATATTTTCTATGCCACATTTTCAATTTATAATTAAATGCTTTAATTGCCCACTAAGCCTTATTTTCCAATTATATTAATAGACGTTGGGCTTTTTCAAAAATTTGTCTGTGGGGTGACATTTCTATGGGAGTTTTGAAAGTTGTCATATAAGCTCATAATGTATTAAAGCTAAGGGACCAATTTTTACGATTTGGGTTAACATCTTATTCTAGGATCCTCTTAATCTACTTACTAGGAACCTCAGCTAAACCAAAAGTTTGGGGATGATATGCAATAGCAATCTTGTGAGTCGTTCCAAATTTTGAAAAAATGCCTTCATCTTTTTATTATAAAAGTGGTTAAATATATTTCTTTAAAATTTTAAGAACACTTTGATCATCACACTGGGTAGTGTCAATGCCTTAATCCACTTAGAGACATATTCTACTGTTATCAATACATAAAGATTTTTTTAAGGTTTTGGAAATGGTCCCATAAAATCTATCCCCCAAACATCAAATATCTCAACTTCCAAAGCCGCATTAAGGGGCATCTCATTTCTTTTAGAAATACTTCCTACCCCCTGCATCTATCACAAATCATCACATATTGATTAACATCTTTAAAGAGGGTAGACCAATAAAATCCAGATTGTAAAATTTTAGCAGTGGTTTTGGATCCACCAAAATGCCCCTCAGATTCTGAATCATGACAGGCCCTAATAATATTGTTGACCTCTGTCAATGGCACACTTCTTCTAATAATTTGGTCTTTGCACATCCTAAATAGATATGCCTCATGTTGGCGTTATTTCGGGGATGGTTTGTGGGGCTGCTCGTAAGAAGCTGTCGGTGGCTGGAATCGAAATTTCGTCGCCCGCTTCGGAAGGACGTTGAAGTATGAAATCAAACTGACCCCATATTTTTTGTAGTTTAAAATGAAAGAGCACTGTACCTCAAATCTTGTATCTATCCTGAAGGATAAACACAAGAATTGAGGATGAGGCTCGATCAGATAAACTAATGAAAGTATGACGTCCGTTTGGTCTGCGAAACCTTTGTATTTGCCGACAAGTTCCCCTATTTAATATAAATGATTAAATAGGGTTTATATTAAGCTGGGTTCGGACATGCTTCCTATAAGGGCAAGCCCCTATAGTTAATTACATCCTAAATGACCAAAGTCACTTAAGAAGACTCTCGATAAAAATCA